AAAAAAAAAAAAAAAGAAACAGTAAAAACAAAACCACAGTGAGCTGCTGCTTCACACTTTATAGGCTAGGCTAACTATAATTTTAAAAAAAATGGAAAATAACGTGTTTGCGAGGATGTGGAGAAATTGAAATCCTCCTACATTATTGGTAGAAATGTAAAGTTGCACAGCCACTTTGGAAAGCAGTTTGACAGTTCCTCAAAACGTTAACTGTTGTGTTACCATGTTACTTGGCATTTGCACTCTTAGGTATATACCCAAGAGAAAGGAAACCGTATGTCCACACAAAAACTTATGGTTTTTTTTTGAGACAGAGTCTTGGTCTGTTCCCCAGGCTGAAGTGCGTGGTGTGATCTTGGCTCAGTGCAACCTTCGCCTCTTGAGATCTAGTGATTCTCCTGCCTCAGCCTCCCGAGTAGCTGGGATTGCAAGCGTGCACCACTACACCCAGCTAATTTTTGTAGTTTTAGTAGAGGCGGGGTTTCACCATATTGGCCATGCTGGTCTCAAACTCCTGACCTCAAGTAATCCACCCGCCTCAGCCTTCCAAAATGCTGGGATTACAGGCATGAGCCCCTGTGTCCGACCTCACACAAAACCTTGTATGTGAATATTCATAGCACCATTACAACAGCCAAAAAGTGGAAGCAATTCAGATGTTAATAAACTGATGAATGGACAAAGAAAATGTAGTATGGCCACATGAGTGGAGTATCACTCATCCACAAAAAGGAGCAGAGTACTGATACGTGCTTTAATACAGGTGAGCCTTGAAAACATGCCAAGTGAAAGAAGACAGACACAAAGGCCACAAAGTGTATGACTCTGTTTATCCATAGGGAAATCTATAGATACAGAGTAGCAAATAACAGAAAGTAAATTCCTGGTTGTCAGAGGCTGGCAGATAGCGGGAATGGGGAGTGACTGCTAATGCGTATAGTGTTTCATTTTGGAATAATGGAAATAGTGGTGATGGCTGTACAACCTAGTGAACATACTAAAAGCCCCTGAATTGTATGCTTTAAAAGAATGAATCAATGATATGTGAATTGTATGTATCAATTAAAAACACCTCCCATGTACTTATCCATTGGTATAGGATTTTGTCATACTTGCATCATCTCTCCTTTTTACTACTTTTTTCTGATATTTTATTTTATTTTTTTATTTTTTATTTTTATTTTTTTGAGACAGAGTCTCGCTCTGTCGCCCAGGCTGGAGTGCAGTGGCCGGATCTCAGCTC